TTTACAACAATTTACTGGTATACCGTTTACAATACAATGACTAATGTGTTTATTTATTTATTCGTTTATTTAGCCAGTGTGAGTCCATTTGTGAGCAGAGTTTCAACTAAAATGCTGTTTAGGAACGACCAAATTCAAAGAACTTTTAGAGACATAAATATTTTGCTGAAAATAAACATTACAACTAAAATATAAACAAATTCAATGTTTCAGCTGGCTAAATAGATTGATGCCGACCTCACCGAGAATCGAACCAGCATCAGCTGAGGGGGAAGCAAAATTTGCTTCAGATGATCTTACCACTGGACTACCAGAGCACATATGACAGTCACTCATGCTGTTGCCCCACATTATTGTTAGAGCGGCTGTGGGCAGATATCTGCTAAAAGAAATCGTTTCATTTCAAGATGTATTCAGGCTTTGTCATGTAGCAAGTTATATTTATCTTGTTTAATTGGAGCATTAACATTTGTAAAGTAGTAACAGCCATAATTCATGTGGGTCAGGTTAGTTTGCGATGAAGTTGGAAAACAAAAACGGAAGTCAGTGGGCTAGGCTGAGTTTGCGTGAATGGGCGGGGCTGACCCTGGTGCAGCTCCACCTTATGGTGCAGCTCCGCCTTTGTGGTTCTGCAGCGAGCACCCTCTCGGATTATTGCTGTTACTGAAAAGAAGGGTGGCTATATTGGTAACTGGTTTTGTTTATATTTCTGCATCTGTTAATTTTGAGTTGTTAGATGAACATTTTCACTTTAACAGACGTAAATGATAAAGTTAAATGGTAAAATTGTGTTGTTTCATTTAGTCACTTAATTATTCTGCACACTAATAACCGTCTAACACCTGTGCACACACATGAACTCCCCTGAGAAAGTGCAAACTCACCTTCCCTACGCACAAAGTTCATGTTTCAGGTGTATTAACGTTCTGGACTGGCTGTTAGTGCCGAGTTCATTCTATATTCAAATGAATCCTCGAAATACTCCCTTGCCTAATAATTGTGCTCACTGTAGAAAAAAGACTGGTGCTTATCGCTATCTCGTTTCCTCCGGCGTCACGGGTCTTTGGTGAGGCGTCTCAGTGTGTGTGTGGGGGGGGGGGGGGGGGGGGGAGTGTTCCTTTACCGTATTTGTGTTCGAAACCTAGCGTGTTCTGTAGATTTGCTAAAGCAGCTTTATCACCATTGCATCATTCATCAGTCTGTCGGATGAGGATGCTGAGGTGATGAATTCAGTGATAAAATGACCCAAAACACTTTGTTTGACAACACATTTCATCAAAACAATCACACTGAAGTCGTTCGACCTTATAGACACATCAGCGATGCAGATGTTGGTCCTAAGTTGTCGGACATTATGATTTTTCAGGATGTCAGGATGTTTTTCCCATGATGCTTTGCAAGAGACAATATTGCCTTTGATGTGGACGAAGTCCCCTGGACTGACCATGTGCACAAGGACGTGTCGTCGTCTTCCTCCGCTTATCCGGGTCCGGGTCGCGGGGGCAGCATCCCAACTAGGGAGCTCCAGACCGTCCTCTCTCCAGCCACCTCCACCAGCTCCTCCGGCAGGACCCCAAGGCGTTCCCGGACCAGATTGGAGATGTAACCTCTCCAACGTGTCCTGGGTCGACCCGAGGGCCTCCTGCCGGCAGGACATGCCTGAAACACCTCCCCAGGGAGGCGTCCAGGAGCCATCCTGACCAGATGCACAAACCACCTCAACTGGCTCCTTTCGATCCGGAGGAGCAGCGGTTCTACTCCGAGTCCCTCCCGAATGTCCGAGCTCCTCACCCTATCTCTAAGGCTGAGCCCGGCCACCCTACGGAGGAAACTCATTTCGGCTGCTTGTATCCGCGATCTCGTTCTTTCGGTCATTACCCAAAGCTCATGACCATAGGTGAGGATTGGGACGTAGATCGACCGGTAAATCGAGAGCCTGGCTTTCTGGCTCAGCTCCCTCTTCACCACGACAGATCGGCTCAGCATCCGCATGCAGACGCCGAACCAATCCGCCTGTCAAAGACATGATGATGTGGAATGAATCTGTGAATGACAGTAAATGCTTTTGTTTTAGTCTTTTTTATTTGTTTGCTAAACACAGAATAAATATTCCGGTTGACCAAATCCTCTGGATGCTGGGCTGCTTTATTATTCCATTTAACTTGCTGAGTTTATTATCCGGACCCGTTGTTTGGTTTTGGATCAGCGTTGACTGATTTTGAGCTGATAATTAGATTTCGACTGCAACAGTCGAGGTCGTGTGAGTTCGGTCAAGATTTGTGTTTAAGGTTTTGATTAAAAGGAGGAAGTTTCAGGAAAGGTGTTATAGGAATTCAGAGGAAATCCCAACCCGTTGGTTTGTTCATGAGTTCCTATCTCCACCAGAGGGCAGTGTTTACCAACAAATCTAACTCATGACACCCCCAGGACGATTTTAGCCCGGATTCCTGTAAGATCAGACCTGTTGAGTGCCAACCCCACCAGGCGCCACTGTCTACACCCGGATAGCAGTTTTAAAACACATTTTATAGAAGAGTTTCAAAAGACAACATGAGCTGCAGATGCATTCAAAAAACCATGAGACCTAGTTCGGACGTACAGATGTGGTCTGGACCGACGGACTCATCATCTGCACCTGCTTGCAACGCAGGGTGGGACAAACTCAAATGTCTCACGGCTGCAAACAACATTTTCTCCAAAGTGCAGTTTTAGCACCAAAGCCACTGCTGACTAAACCCTAACATCGTGCACCCCATCATGCATGAAGCTGCAGGTCCGGGGCTAGGATCTCCACTGCTCTCTCGCAGAACAACTTGTCTGACCTTTGACCTTAAACACGCTGGAAACCTCCCAGTGAGTCTGAATTGACACGGATGTGAAAGACTCTTCGCCAATCATCTCAAACTCTGAATCTGGTTGTTTCTTCTGGTGTTTTTCAGGGAACCCAGATATCGTTTCCACAAGGTGAGCTAAGCTCCGCCTCACATGTTTACTATTTAGAGATGCTGGGTGTTTTTCTGTGTGTTCTGAAACACACACACACACACACACACACACACACACACACACACACACACACACACACACACACACACACACACACACACACACACACACACACACACACACTAGTGGTTCTATTCAGGGTTGAGGCGCACTCCTGCTCTTTGGCCACCAGGGGGCAGTAGTGCGCTGCGCTTCAGCTTCATTTACGCAGGAATTCGATTTAAATCTAATCTAAAGCAGATTTTTGATGCAGGAGAAACCAACTAATGTAATAAATCAGCTGTGAGTAGATTAGATCTTTTTTTAACCGAGTTGTTTTGTTTTTATGAATCTGTCACGTGACCTGACAGAACAGATTCAGACTCCCGCTGTTCGCAGCAGCAGCTGATGCGCGCGGAGGTCAGCAGGGGTCCCGATCCGTCAGAACCCGGTCCAGGAGAGTCGGAACCAGACGGGACCTCACAGGTGACCGTTTGGTTCCCCCTCCTCCCGCAGACACATGCTAATCTGCAACTCTCATGTGGAAATTAACTTGTTTTACATAATGGCGTCAGATTAGTTATCAACATTTTATTTATCTTGTTTGCGTTATTTAAAAAGAACAATTGCACATGTGAGTTTTTCATGTGAAAACTAGAGAGTTAAAATCGTGTTTTACTCTGGATTTAATCTGCCTCAGGAAATGATTTACTATAATCTTCAGAAAGTTGTTTAATAAAAATCTGTTTGATTTTCATAAAAGCGGCAGTCTTTTGCTTTTCAGTTTGAATAAATAATCTATAATTTTGTAATATTTAAATGATTTTTACGGATTTTAAGTTCTAAACTCCTACATAATCATTTCATTTTTTATTATCTTTCTGGTTCTAAAATTATTCCAAAAACAAATATTTAAATAATTAGTTTTTATTTCTGTTTATTTTTGATAAATGCAGACTGAGCGTTTCCAGCAGTCATTTAATAATGTTTTATATTTATTTTATTATTTCTGTCACAAAACAAGAAAGACGCAAAACAACATCGAGACAGACGTAAAAAACGGATTATTCAATAACAAAGTTGAAAATATATTCAAAACTGTGTAGAAATAAATGTTATTTATTACATCCAATCAAATAGTTTATTTTTTAGCTGTTTAAATCTTTTAAGCTTGAACCAAAACTCCACCTGACAAAATGTAATTTATTAATTATTTTATATATTAAAATGATTTTTTACTATTTAATATCAACATATTTTATATGCTTCAAACAGAAACGTGATTAAAACACTTTCGCGTTTCATGCAGGGACGCACAACGTTCAAATAAAGCAAATGTTTAAAAAGCACAGAGAAAGATGCTTTGCGTGTTTCTGATGCACTTCCGGTCAGTGAGTGAAGGAACATTTGGAGATCTTCATCCTTAAAGTTCCTCCTCATCCTGAGCAGCAGCTTTTTATTCACACCCATCTCGACCAAACGATCTTCAGTTAACCTTTAATTAGTTTTCACAGACCGCCCCCCCGGCGTGGTGTGCGTGCGTGAGTGCGCGCGCGCGTGTGTGTGTGGGGTGGGTGGGGGTGGGGGGTTTCACCCTTTCATGTCGGTCTTGTTTATTCAGGGTTTTCAGCTGCTGATGGAGTTTCTCACACTCCAGGACTGAATTAGCACTTCTCTCTTCTCTGGAATGAATTTCGTGATGAAAGTTTAAATCCTCCAGAAAATATATTTATTTTGTTGGTTCAGTTTTTAGTTTTTATTTGGAGGGGGGGGGGGGGGGGGGGGCTTACGCAGTGAGATCGAAGGAAAAGGATCAGAAATACATTCAGAAACATGAAGTTGCGTCACCAAACTAAAAATAAAACGTTTTATAAAGAAAACTAATTCTAAACTTACAGAAAAAATCTGGTAATCTTTCGAATTTGAAGCCAAGCGGATTTTTGCGTTTTGGGCACACCCTTAAGAGCAATTTAGTAACTCTATGTCTGGGGGGGTCAGAGCCAGAGTGCTCTTTTCCAGAGGTTCCTCTCGTCCCTATTGGATGATGGAGCACGCTTGGATTCGGGGTGGAGCAGCCTGAGCAGGAGAAAATGCGTGGCGTAAAAAAAAGAGGAAGGTTCGTGAAGAGTTCTGCTCCTCCAGAGGTTCTGAGCAGCAGCGCGCGCGCGCTCTCCGCTTCACCGTGGCGAACGGCGGCTTAAAGAACTCCATTCCGGAACCGCAGAGGACAGAAGTGTGAAGGAACGCGCTGCAGTCGCGACACACCTCTCGGGGAAGCCGTTTGGAGAGGTTTTACGCACGGTGCAGGATGCAGGCGCGCTACTCCGTCTCCAGTCCCAACTCTCTGGGAGTCGTTCCCTACATCAGCGGCGACCAGAGCTACTACCGAACCGGCGGCGGCTACACCGGCATGCCGGCTCCCATGAGTATGTACTCACACGCGGCCCACGACCAGTACCCGGCCAGCATGGCCCGGGCCTACGGACCGTACACCCCCCAGCACCAGCCCAAGGACATGGTGAAGCCCCCCTACAGCTACATCGCCCTCATCACCATGGCGATCCAGAACTCACCGGAGAAGAAGATCACCCTGAACGGGATTTATCAGTTCATCATGGAGCGGTTCCCCTTCTACCGGGACAACAAGCAGGGCTGGCAGAACAGCATCCGGCACAACCTGTCCCTCAACGAGTGCTTCGTTAAGGTGCCCCGGGACGACAAGAAGCCCGGTAAGGGCAGCTACTGGACCCTTGACCCGGACTCCTACAACATGTTTGAAAACGGCAGCTTCCTCCGCCGCAGGAGGAGGTTCAAGAAGAAGGACGTGCAGCGGGAGAAGGACGACCGGGACCGGCAGAGTAAGGACACAAACGCGCGCAGCACCAGCCGGGACCAGGACCCGCCGGTGCCTGGCTCACAGCCGGTGCGGATTCAGGACATCAAGACCGAGAACGGGACCTCCACGCCTCCCCAGGCCGCGTCCCCGAGCCTGGGTGCCGTGCCTAAGATCGAGAGCCCCGACAGCAGCAGCGTGTCCACGGGGAGCCCCCACAGCGTGCCCTCCACACGGTCCCTCAGCATGGACGGAGCCGAGCACCAGCACCACGGCCAGGCCCCGGCGCAGGGCTTCAGCGTGGACAACATCATGACGTCCCTGCGGGGGTCTCCGCAGGCCGACCTCTCCCCGCCGCTCATCGCCTCCTCTCGGACAGGTATCACCCCCTCGCTGTCGCTCAGCTACTCCCCCAGCCAGACCCCCGCATACAGCTCCAACACCTGCAGCCAGAACCCCATCAGCAGCTCCAACGCCACGTATCACTGCAACATGCAGGCCATGAGCCTGTACACCGGGGACAGGTCGTCCGGGGGCCACCTGGCGCCCCCCACCACGGTGGAGGAGGTTCTTCCCGACTATTGCACCACGACCACCGCGTCCCCGCTCGGACACGGAACCCTGAGTCAGGCGGGCCAGGAGGGCCCCCACACGCACCAGGGCCGCCTCGCGTCCTGGTATGGGGACCTGAGCCACCTGAGCCCGGGATACCCGGCGACGCAGCAGAACTTCCACTCGGTGCGGGAGATGTTCGAGTCCCCGCGGATCGGACTGAACGGTTCCCCGGTGAACGGGAACAGCAGCTGCCAGATGGCCTTCCCGTCCGGACAGTCCCTCTACCGAACCTCAGGAGCGTTTGTTTATGACTGCAGCAAGTTCTGAAGCCCAGCGTCTCCCTGAAAGCAGCAACTCTAATATATGTCCTCTATATTTTTGTACTTTGGCTTTGATTTACGCTCCTAAAGGACACGAGAGCCCTTTAACACCAGAACACGTAAGTGCCCTCCCGTCTCGCTCTGAGATCCTCAAACACCAGCTTCCCCCGCCAGACTGTAAACTAGAACCTAACATAGTAATTTATTATAGGAACGGAAGTGGTGGGGACCAAACACCTTTGACTTTTCATTCCTTTGTTTTTATTTCTGCCTTTAATGGTTCCAGTTGTATAGAAATAGCGGGGGCTCATATGACCTATTTTATTCCTTCTGTGTTTATTCTGATAGCTGAAGGCATCGCCGTTTGTTTTGTTTAATAAAGCGCCGTTTGTTGGATTTTAATTGGAGTGACTTATTGGCCTAAAGCTGCAGGAGTTGGTCTAGAGTCACAAACATGCTGTTAAAAAGCTAAAAGCAGAATCAGTAAAATAAAGGTGAGAATAAAACCAAACCGGAGCCTCTACTGGAGCCGTCTGTGATTTCTCCTCAGCTCAAACCTGCTGCTGCTCAGCTGTGAGGACTCACCTGTGGGTTGTTTATTTTCTGTGTGTTTGGATAAACATCAGCGGTAAACAAACTCACGTGCGGCAGCAGCTCTGACTAAAACGACCTTGTCAGCAGAACAAATCAGTCATTATGGGGCTGCGCGGCTTCCGTCTGGCTGCCGGGCTTGTCGGGGCTGCAGCTGCGTTTGTGTTGGACGTGACGGGAGCGGGTTTGTGCGTCAGGTCCAGACCCCAAACGGCCCTGCTGACGCACGGTGCGCGCGGCCTGATGGATACGAGATGTGACTGATGAGTGTTGCTGCAGAGGAGATGGATCTGCTGCAGCGTTATTTGCTTTTGTGTTCAGTTTAAATTTATTTCAATGGTTTAAATTAAATCTTTAATATGTCAGTCAAATTAAACATTTAAAAAAAGTTATGAATAATCTTAGAGGTAAAATTAAATAGAATAAATAACAGTTTTGTTTACAGATGCATTTCTGTTGGTGATTGGTGCACACGGCCGATCGTGTTTCATTACTCCTGAGGTGTGTGTGTGCGTGTGTGTGTGTGTGTGTGTGTGTGTTTGCACAGACTGTAGTGAAAGCTGAGTCTATTTTTGGCCCGAGTGAGATTATCTATGAAAAAGTAGTGATAATGATTCCTGCGCGCCAACGCTCCCTCAGGGCCTCGGATGAGTCAGGATCACTAAAGCTGTAACACAAACACTGGAGTGTAGCACGTTCCGTGTGTGTGTGTGTGTGTGTGTGTGTGTGTGTGTGTGTGTGTGTGTGTGTGTGTGTGTCGAACGCTTCAGTTGCTTGGTTTAGCTGCTAAAATCCCTAAATTACAGCCTTTTGTGCGCTTCTTGGGTAATAAGGAGGAGAAGTGGCGCTCTTCTGCGTCTCTGTGATTGACGCAGCAGCAGGAAGGAAGGTCCAGGTACTCCAGAGAATCGTTTTTCACTCCGAGGACAAGACAGGAGGGGTGAAGGAGGTCAGCGGAGAGGATGTCAACAGCGCACTTTAGGAAAAGGTCGCGTCACTGATCGGATCTGCAACAGAACCCGCTCCAAAAGGCTCGGTTCGGTGCCAGCCCCGCGTCCCCGGCGCGCTGCGTCACACCCATAGGGAATGCTGGTGGTTTTCTCCACCCTGGAGGTGTGTAGGTGTGTTTCACAGCCGCAGATCAGCTCAGACATTTGATCCGAAACAGATTTTAGACAGAAGAAATGGAGAATTGTTGCAAAAGCGAAAAACAAACAAAATCACTCATTAATACGAATGTTTTATATAATTGTTTCCATTTAATGGCAAATATATGGAAGAAAAAACAGAAAGTTTGATTTTTGGGGAACTGATGAAACATTTTTAATAAACTAAATCTTTCTGACTCAAAGGAGATGAACGTGAACTCAGACAGATGCGCGCGTGTCGGTCTCAGAGGTTATCTGCAGTGATGCTGCAGGATTCTGGCCCAAACAGGGGCTTTAGTCTCGGTTCTGTTGGTGGTTCGGCTCGTTAAGAGACGAGAAGACCCGCGGATCCGCGCGCGCATCCAGCGCGTTGGGAGGATTTACCAAACTGTTTAAATCAAAATAAAGTGTGAAACTAGCTGTTTGAGAGGATTTCATGAAAATATTTTCTCTGATTGATGTAAAAACGTTCATTATTTACCAGTAATGATCAGTTCAAGCATCAAAATGAGTGAAATGTTAATATTTATCCTCTAATCAGGCCAAACCAAACAAGCTTATCAGTAGCAATATTATTTTTCAGATTATTATAAGATTAATTATTTATCTAAATGCTCATTTGAATGTATTTTATTCTGAAGTTATAATTTTAAAAGAAAATCCATTTCTCTTCTCCGATTAAAAAAAATCTGATTTTAAAAATTTTCAGAGGTTTTAATCCGAAATAAATCCGTTCAAACTTTCTCTTCTCCAACTGAGCAACATGGATGATCTGCTCGGCTCTGATTGGTGATGAAGGGGAACGACACGCACCTGCGCGCGCCCCCCGTTGCTTCTGGGGCCCATCAGGGGCCACATCTGGCCCCACTCAGGGCGCGAGGCCACCCCGCCCTCAGGCCGCTCACCGAGACCTTTAGGGCTCGAGTTGAAAGTCAAACACAAACAAGGGAGCAACAGTGCGCATGCGCAAAGCCGATTCCGACTGGACCTTTGCTTAAATCTCAGTTCTGGGCATCCTGGAAAATTTAGTCCTGCTGCAGAAAAAAGGAGAAATTAAAGCAGATGCGTTTTCTGCAAGTTTCGATCAATAAATAAATAAATAAAATAAACCTTTAATAAGTGACGCCTCATAAAGCGTTTCTCTTTTAGGATTACAAAGTTAATGCTAGAAAAGTCTAACCTAAGAACGGGTATTTTATTGGACGAGTTTAATGCAAGTTAATAAAAACAAAAGCTGGATGGTTTTGGATGACTTTAACCCAAAAAACATAAAAAGTTACAAATCAGCTGAAAAATTATTTAAACATCCATCAAAAGCTAAGAGAAAAAAACAGTTAATGAACATTCATGCTTTTATTCATTTATTTAATAAATGAATTTATTACACACACTTTCTTCATATTTTTTGTAAAAAAAACAGGATCAAAGACATGAAAACATGATTCATTCATACAGATAAAAAAATCAAAGTTTGATTCATTTTCCACCAGATTATGATTTAAATTAAAACTCTGACCAGCATAAATCAACTCAGTTACAAATACAAGACACAAATAGAGCTAAATAATCAGAACCATGTATGGAGTGTGATAATAAAAAGCCAACAGCTGGTATGAAGAATAAAGCCACTTCATTAGGAAAAGAAACAAAGGTAGAAAACATAAAACAGGAACCCTGTTAGGAACTCTGGAGCGCCAAAACCTCTCCGTCCACGCTTTCCCTCAGGCGTTCGGATTATTCTTCATCAGCTCGATGTCCGCGTCCACCATCCCCTTCACCAGCGCCTGCAGAGAGCCCAGCCCCATAATGAACATACATGTAATAATAATAATAATAATAATAATAATAATAATTAATAAAAATAACAAGAGCATCTGGAGGTTTTCAGCTAAACAACGACTGATGTTTCCTTTATTTTCTGCATTAAAGAAAAATATCTAAAGGATGAATTTAAAACTTCTTCCCTTGTTTCCTCCAGAAAAACAAATAAACTTTTCTGTATAATTAATTAAATGTAATTTTTATTTCAGTAGAAATCAGGGTTATTAGTGTGATTAATAAATTCAGCCTTATTTTAAATTCTTATTAAAAAATAATTTATCATTAAAATTATCATAAAAAATTTGAATTTCATAGAAACTTGATTGCTTTTATTTTAAATATTTTCAGATTTGATAAACAAACCTTATTTATTGATATTTGTTCACATAAACAAAAATAAGTACAGTTTATTTGTAAGGCGTGCTTCATGGGCACACACACACACACACACGCACGCACGCACGAACGCACGCGCACGCACGCACGCACACACACACACACACACACACACACACACACACACACACACACACACACACACACCATATACAAGTGACAGAAACAAGCAGGAACAAAACTAATAATTATTAAATATATTAATAATCTCACTGTGACATTTAATCTGGATGACGTAAAAACTTCTTTTTTGTCTAATTTTGTCTTTTTTGAAAATATTTATCTAAAAACTACTTAGAGAAAAATTAGTTACAGAAATAATTCATGAGCAGAAATAAGTTTATAATTAACCACAATAGAGATTTTCTCTTTTCATCAAATGGAGCGCTTTGATGCGACTCACCTCAAACGTCACCTTCGGCTTCCAGCCCAGCTTCTCGTAAGCCTTGGTGCTGTCGCCTTGGAGGAAGTC